TAACATAAAAAATAAACTGCTCTCCAATGAGAACACTCTGTGCAATTGACTAGGGAGCATCCCTGTTTGTTGAGACAGGGCCAATAAATTGGGCACATTCAACATGACTGTGGGATAAGAGGTCCAGATCTGATGAAAGCATTAAGCATTAAGGGAGCAGTGAGCTGGATCCAGTCCATAAAGCAAAATAACAGATGCTCAAACAGTAATAAGGCAATGTGAAATATGAATAAATTACAGCCTCCTTGAATAAAATATACGCAGTAAAATAAATTAGAGGAGGACGGGCCTTTGTTATTGCTGCAATCAGTTTCAGAAAGCAGGCTGCAGACCCTGGGCCAGTGTGACAAATTGCCACCTTGCTAACAATCTGGCTCGCTGAAAACGGCCACCACGCTGGTCTGATGAGCTGGCACGCTCAGAAAGTCTGCAGCGGTGGTCCCAAATTCTGCAACATTAGCACTTAGCCTGTATTCTTCTATACAGAGCAGAGAGACGGAGAGGAAGGGAGATGTACTCATGGTTATTGGTGATTGTTAAACCAACACCAGAGGCTTCTAATGTGGAGGAGTAAAGATAGAGAAAACATTAAACTGTCTAGTCAGCCTGTGGATAATATGGCAGCAGCACTGTAGGAAGCAGTGGCTGCTGAAGGCGTCAGCAGACTTGTTCCATTTTAATCAACAACATGATTTAAGCCTGGAAGAAGCAGGTGGGTAGACTCTTGGGCCTAAACAATCAATTACTCCAACTGATCAACGCAGTAGAAAATATGAAACCCACTGTAGTAAACAGTAGCTGCAGTGACACATTGTTTGTGCCTTCAACAACAATTCCTTTCACCGTTGCCTTGTCAAATAAAAGAAAAAAGGGAATGCCAAATAGAATGAGAAACAGAGACAGCATGTGTGTCAATTCACCTTTGTGTGCTGCAGTAGCAATTTTATTATACAGTGTCAGGCAGTTTGTGATTATAACATGAAAGAGAAAGCAACAGAAACTGCCTTCCCTCTTTTCTCAGTGGATTCTAAATTTAATTTGGGCTGATGAGCACAAACGTTGCTGGGTTAATTTTCTAGAATTCATCACTATCAACTGCGGTAGCTGTAGCTTCTCATATTAGTTATAATATTGTTTAAAAAAATTACAACTTGAAGCCTCGCTCATTCTATCCATCTGAGTTGGTCTATTAATTGGTTTATGTGATTTGGTTTACACTGAGGAAGTAAGTTTATAAAATAATTTTAAGCCCTCGAAAAATCAAAAATCTTAACTAAATGAATTAAAATTTAACTGCAGGGTGTATGATTTCACACTCTTAGCTACTCCTGCAGCCTTGAGACTCATGTTGTCTTGAATTAGGTGCGAGTTTGCCTTCAGGTTGAATGCTACTCCTTGGACCACTAACAGACTGAGTGCACAAGGCCGGATACCCTTGGGCCTCCCTGGGTTTGGGTTCCTGTGTGGTTGATTGTATTTGTATGTGAGTGTATGTGGGGTGTTGGCTGTCAGGTTATGGATAGGTTGAGACACTCACAGTACACGTCCATGGTCAATGTGGTCTCCATTGGCCGGAAAAGGGCGGAGTTCTTGGCATGACATGCCAGCTGCCTCCCATTGTCAGAGCTCAGAGCAGTGACTCTGTGAGAGGTGACAGAAAGGCAAGAGAAGAGGACAAAAAACAGATAATATTGACTCATATAAAGTGCTAAACCACAAAACATCACACTACGGTCATGACTGGCTAGTGATGGAAGAAGTGCAAATACATTAATGTAAATATCAAGGCAAGGCAAGTTGTATATCCACAAAGCCAATTCAAAGTGCTTAACACAATGCACACAAATACATAAGATATGAAAATACATACACAGAGAAAACATTCAAATGCAATTAGATTAAAACATTAAATGTTAATTAATAGCAACAATTACTGTATGTGACAGCACAAAGTAGCAACATACAGGTGTAGATACTTAGTACTTTTAGGACAGTTGTGGCTGTGGCTTCTCACTGTTCTCATTATACTTTGTACCCCTTTACTTCAGCTTTCCTAAGACTAACCCCTGAGTACTTTAAATTTCACATATACTCCATTACAAGTGCTATTTGTCCTGGAGTCAAAATCCTTCTTCAGTAATTTACTGATGCACCAAAGTGTAAGTAACATTTTACTGCCAGGTTTAGCTGGTTTTAGCTATGTGGCAAGGAGTCCCAAAAGTGGAAAGCCACTAGAATATACTGTATTTTAGTAGCTTATCATATTTTTTTGTAAAATCTGAATTTAAAATATAATCAGGAACTAAAGCTGTTGGATGAATGTGGTGCAGTAAACAAATTACATTTTCCTTAGAAATATAGAAAAGTTGAAATATTCATGTAAAGTAAAAGATTATACCTGTAATTAAGCACAGTGCTTGATTAAATATGCTTATTTATTTCCTCCACTGTGTCTGGTCACTTGCATAAGCCATGTGACAGTAAATTCAAGACTGCACTTTGTGATGTACACTAGAAGATTCAGTAGTCCCTGCAATGCAGTGGATATATTCTGAGCCTGGTTTACTTTGTCAGTTTATGTCTTCTATATCAAATTACAGTACACTGTCAAGCGTAACAATCGCACATGGCCCACTGCTGTGTATGCTCAGTGTGAATATGAGGAAGGAGCATCAATATTGCTTAAGACCTCGGCTGTTCTTCAGTAGAGCTGAGCAACACTGCAGCTCCTCAGTACCAATGTTATCTCAGGATATGACAAGAGGTTATTATCTCTGACACAAAGGAGACAAGTGGGATTAAAGTAATCTATGGCCCTGTTTAATGTATAGGCACCTGGCGAACCGGTGAGAATCAGATCCGTCTCACTGCTGGAATGTAATTTTGTGCATTTGACAGAAGCTAATTCAATCGTACACTGCCAAGTAACAGTTTGCTGTGCGCAGAAATCCATTGTACTCAATAAGACAGAAGGAGAAAATAAGAGTGGGGTGAAACCAAGAGAAACAAGAAACAAAGACAAACTTGGAGAGACTGAGCGGGCTGGTGAGGAGAACGAATCTGGCAGGTGAACGAACACATACGTTACTTCAGCATGTGTGTTCAGGAGCTTATCCTCTGAGCCAGACATGGTGAAAGATTCCCCACCTGTCAGTTCGACTCCGTCTGCAAGACACAACCGGGGGAAGGTGCACAACAAGAGAGAATATAGTGTGTAAATTTGTTCATGTGGCACAGAAACATCAATGTTATTCTCATACAGAATGATTAAAAACTGAAATATGATAAACATGTATCTCTGTGTGGTACAATAACTGTATACACTACTGTCTTAATCGCTCTTTAAACTGAATAATTCACTCTTGAGGTCACAACATTACCAAAACAAAATGACATCTTACTGAATACACTACACTTTAACAAGGGGAAAAGAGATAATAATAAAATAAGTCTTAGTTCTACAGCAACACACTGTTTACAAATTCACCTTCTCTGTTTCAGCAGTGTACAGTATACAGTAGGTGTGATGGAAGACCAGAAGGTAAAAAGAAAAAATGGGAAATTGCTGTTGTTTTCGTAAACAACCAGGAACTTGTTATACATCCACTGCACTGCACTGCACATGCAATTGTAAAGTCAGTGGAAATTGGAAATTCAAATGTTCAGGCTATTTCCTCCCACACAGTGTCTGCTCCTTTCAACTCTGCTATTCAAAGATTATGAAATACAGAACTGAACTTGTATTTTATCCTCTGTAAGGCTTTTGTTTAACTATTCAGGTTGTGACTTATGGAGATCCCAGTATGTAGAGTATTGGAAAGGCTGCTGCCCTTTGTTCCAGTCTGTCAGGGCGGGTCGTCTCTGTCAAGTGCGGTTGAAAGGTTGACTCACCTTTATAAAGGCTGATTTCAGCCCCAGGCTTTGCGTCAGTGGCAACACATGCGACCGTGTACTTCTGTCCCGCCACCCAAGGTGTTGCCATGTCCACCTCAAAGTATGTTTTGGATGGAGGAACTATAGGAGAGAAACTACAGCTCATGTTTTTATCACTTCTGTATCTTAATATTCTTCAAACTAATTTTAGATTAGTGGAAGCCACAGCTGTCACAGGTGCAGCTGATGGATATTAGCTTATGCAATGATATGATAATAAGCACTTGTAACATTTGGGAGCAACTGGAATGTCACACTGTCAGCCTCTGAGTGATTTACTTCAGTGTTTCAACTCCAAAAGTTGGGATGTATGTATAATCAAACTTAAAACTGAAAATAGTGATGTGTAAATCATCTGTGTCCTGTATTACACTGAAAACAATACAGCAGCACATTATTTGATGTAATAATGTGATACCTTGTTAATCTTATTTCATCCATCCAGCCATTATCTATAACCGGTTATTCTTGAAGAGGGTCTCGGGGGGGCTGGAGCTAATCCCAGCTGACATTGGGCCACCACTCAGTAGTTTTATTCTTTGTTCAAAATAAACACTCACTTCAATTCTGATGCTGCAACACATTCCAAAAAAAGTTGGAATGGTTGCATTTCAGGGCCAGTAACGAGGTAAAACAATGAAATGGTGATTCCATTTGAAACAGGTGATGTCAACAAGTGAATGCAGTCATGATTTGGTACAAAAGTGGCATCCAGGAAAGGCTGAGCCCTTTAGGAGCAAAGATAGGCAGAGGACCACCAGTTTGTATGTGTAAGAAAATGTTTGAAATGGTTAAAAACAATGTTCCTCAAAGAAAAATGGGAAGAGATTTGGATACGTCACCTTCTATGGTGCATAATTAAAAGATTCAAACTTTTCACTATTTTAACTGGTTACCAGTGTGATTTCTATGTTGCCGGCACCTGCTGATTGTTACAGGTGAGTTTCATTACAAATTAAAGGAGCATCACATGCTGGAAATACAACTATTTCTGATGATTTTGTGTCAATAATTCAGACCAGACTATTTTTGGAGTTCTGCATGAAATGTGTCAGATTCATCTTTTTTCTCCTTTTTTGTGTTGTTCCAATGCAAACAAAAGAAATAAACATGAGAATACCAAAAAAGCTGTGATTGCAACAATTTTCTAGGAGAAGTAGTGCGTTATCTGAGAGAAATGCAGGGGTGCCAATATTTTTGGCCATGACTGTATGTGCTGTCTGGACTGATCAAAGCTGCTTTTTCACCGTTCTGCACTACAGTCCTTCTATCTGACCATAAACAGGAATTCCAGACCAAAAAATAAAAACAAACAAACAAAAACATAGCTTTTAACACAAGGGACCAAAAAACGTTTGGCAATAAATTGAGAAATCTGCCACTAATTAGCAAAGAGATTTCTGTAAATCTGTGAGCCAGGTTAATCATGCAGACACAACAGAAACCTGATCATCCATTGTGCTGGCTTTTAGCGAGTGGGTGAGTGCTTAGAATTAGAAACTATGGATACTATTAAGGTTGCTTTTCCTTCATCTGATATCAAGTGCAAAGGCTGCCTGTATTCAAAAACAGAACTGGGAGATTGAGAGTACAGGTATCATACACGTTTGAGAGAGACACAAAAGACTTCGACAGAGCAGTATGAAGATATGTCATGAATCAAAAGTGAGTGTGGAACAGTCTGCAGAGGAGAGCAGGGGCAGGACGACAGCTGCCTCTGAACCCTGAGATAAATGTGCTGCTAATGTGTGGGTAAATAGCTGGACCACAAGCAACCAAACCAGCCAAGCATCAAACTACTCTCCACTCTCTTTTGGGACATGAAATCAATTCCTAGCCACTAGGAGGAGCTGTTGCTGTGTGCAGCGTCGCCCACTGGCTCTAGCCTGCTATTGAGACAGATGAGATGTGGCTGCAGCTTCAAACTGATTTAAAAGAAGCAATTGAATCTGTGTGGACTGTGATGAGTTACCCAGAGCACTGCAGAGGCGCTCGCTCCAATAATGAGATGCATTTGTTTGTTTTCCCCCCCCTTCCCTGAGAAGATGACTGGGCCATGCATCTATTGACAGTCCCTGCACTCTCAATCTACTCAGACCCGCATGATTCACATAGGGGCATCACTTGTTGTGCTCGATGAGTGTCTGGCAGCCTAACAAATCCTAAAATAAGAGTAATGATATGTTCACAAATGAAGGAGGCAGGTATCTAATTTTTCCCTCGCTCGCTCATGCTAGGCCATTTGTCTTATCTATCATTCACTCCATCATCCCTCTATAGGTGTGCAAGACCCCCACCCCCAACGCTATCCCTTCTTGACCACTGCAGTTAAACTGCAGCAGTGTGGGGGAAGGTGTGTTCCAGCTTCGACTGGGAATTAGTCCTCCATCCATCACATCCACTCAGGCAAATCATGTGACCAAGTCAGCCCAGTCAGGATTAACTTAGTCACACACACACACACACACACACACACACACATCTATACAAATGTGACAGCTTGTGCCGACAACATCAGCACACATATTCTTGTCAATTTACTAGACATGCACTCAGAGTAAAGAACAGAGAAAGAAACACACTGATTCTTTTGATTAACTCTTTCCTCTGCTTCTTTGTTTAGTTGCCTGTGGGCTTTTCTATTTTGTCTCCCCTTCTCACTCTCTCTCTCTCTTTTTTTTTTTATTAAGGTACATGTATGAACACAAAAATAGACAGGCACGCAAAGAGTCGCCGTTCATATGAGAAACAGTGAGCTGCAAAATTCAATTCATTAGCCAAATACAGACGGATGGATGGATAAGGCAGATAAGAAGCAGATTAGCAGACACATCAATATGCATAAGCAGCAGTTTCCACCTATCTTTCTCTCTTGTTCACATACAAATGCGTGCACGCTCTTTTCCCCCCTCACACACAAATGCCCAAAGTCTACAGTGCATGCAGATCTGCGCACACAAACACAGGCCAGTGAATGTGCAGACAAGCTACATTCATCTCACTTCACTCTAAAAACAGGCGCCAGTGTGTGCACAGTTTAACATGTGATACTAGGCTGATTCTCTGAGAAATACTGGAAAATGTCCAGGGGATAAATCAGTCTCTAAAAAGCTTATTATGCTGAATTAAGAAAATAATGGAGAACAAACTTCTCAACACCACACAGACAAGTCACTGGTTTTATCTCCTGAAGACAAAGATTGATTGGCTCAAACTACACTTGCATGCACAAGGATATGTTTTTATACTCATGAGTGCATAAAGCACACAAAGTCACTCATTCACATTCACACTGGGGGTCTCAGGTGTGTGATCTCTGGCAACGAAAGTCTCTGAGACAGTACTCTTTTTTTCAGCTTTCCCTTCCTCTCCACCCCCACCCCCCCACACACACTTCCCTCATCTGCCTGCCCCCCTCCCTGTTCTGGAGGAGAAGTGGAGCAGGTGTCTAGGACAGAAATAAGATCCTCCCCCACTCACGTCACCCCTCACCCATCTAAAAATGACTCCTCCTCTCCTAATGTCCTGTTTACCTTTCGTTTTGGGTCCATTACATAACAATTCAGTTCTTATTTGTGAGCACCCATCTCCCAGATGACCATGTCCATTTATAAAAAATATTTCACCTGCATGCAAAATCTGAACTGACTCAACTGTAAATGTACCTTAAATGATTCACAACACAATTAAAAGCAAACCCTCTGGCGTCTCGTGTTGCAATTTAACAGAACCCTCACGCCAATTGTAAAGATCCTGACACTGTAACATCAGCCAGGCACTGTAATATGCAAACAGCCACTTCAGTGTATAACAGATTGTACTCTGATTGGGTTATATCCTTTGAAACTGTCAAAACCTTTCTTGAAGGAAGATGAATAAATTCACCATATTCTGTCTTGCCTGTGTCCCCATTTACAGTATAAGTTGTTCCATTATTTATAACAAGGAATCAAGGACAAGGAATAAAAGGAAGGCTCATTATATACTCTTCAAGTGCTACCTTCGTTAGCTACCATGAAAATCTCACCATAACCCTGGTTCCTAAAATTTCCTCTAACCTCCAACCAACACTGATTGAAAGCTTACACATATGGGCACGCTCACACACACACACACACACACACACATGAAGACCTGACGATGGCAGCTGAATGAGTAACACCGTCTAAAACCAGGACACATCAAATGACTGTTTTGAACATTTGCAGGAAGCATCTGTGCAAGCGTGCAATGCAGCGAGGCAGAGAGTTGTTCATTAATGGGATTAAATGCTAAGGCTAATGGTATAAACCGAGACGCAGGATGTGTCAGGTATGTGACGGGCAGGGCGCAGGGTGAGTTTTAGCACAGTAGGGGGTTTCAGTGCAGGGAGTAGAGGTTGTTATTGTCATGGATTACTCACTGCCACTTGATCTGCCTATTGCAGTAATCCCCTATCTAAGCTCCACAGGAAGGCAAAAACACACAGGAGTTTAGGCTACACCAAAGGAAATGTGTTGAAAACATCTCTTTCTAAGTTTATGGATAAAGCTTATTGACACTCTGCCTCCTTCTATTTTCTGCCTGCAGAGAGCCACCTTGAATTAGCCAGTCATGATACCACTGCCCCAAGAAACCAATTATGTGACCAGCAATCTCTGTTTAGCTTTCATGTTTTCCCCCTCTCCACCACTGTGTCTGCTTGTGAAGAGTTTATGCTGTTTTGATTCGATGCAGCGCTTGATGGGATGATGCCATGGTTGACTGGCCAGGGGTTTGGGTCCTTGGGAGCTGTAGTTCAGTGATGGAGAAGTCCGTGGGGAACTCATCACGGACAGTGCTCTTCAAAAAGGATGCACAGTTTTCAGTCCCAGTTCAGCAATAACAGGAGATTGAATTCATCACCTCATCATCAAGCTTCAGATTAGTCACGTATTTTGAATCAGTTGAGTTGGTGGGGTGGAACAAATGACCCTTTAGGACCAAGGCGGCAGAGTGCTTTTTAAGTCAGCCGCTTCACTCTTTGCCCTTTGCAACAGTAGAGCTGCAACTGTCCATCTTAAACAGTAAACAGCTTGAAAAGTGTTCCCAAAACACAGAGCAAAAACACCAGCTGAGATGTGTGGACCATGTCAGGAACACAGGGCGACAGTAGTTTTCACTCATGGTAAATACAAATACCAGTGAATCCCTGATGGGACAGGAATAGAATTCCCACACATTTTGACCTTTTTTAACAAAGCCAAATGTGACTGAGTTGACTTTGTGTATGTGGGTACACGTGCAATCAGCATCTCAGAGGTAATAAATGTGGGAGTCAAACCTGCTGTGGCTACAGGTGTAGGCCTGCTGTAGGACATAAGACTGTGGCAGTGGAGAACAGAATTCAACAGTAATTCTGTAGTCTATACCTCTTCCTATCCCACACCACCCGCCATCCCTCCCACTGGCCCATTGATGTCAGAAAAACCTGCTTTCTTCCCAGAGGAGAATGAGGCCACAGCAACCCCCACCAACAAGAAAAAAAACCTCTCCTTAGTCACCAAAGGGAAAGCCTGAAAGCGAGAGAGAGAGAAACTGTGTGATGCAGAGAATGGGGAGGGGGATGTAAGTAAATGAACTGCGCCTAGAGAAGAAAGGTTCTTTTAGAGTCCTTTCCTTGCCACATATGGGCTTGCTCCCACAAGCAAGAGGGATAGGGAGAGAGAGATACTGGTTGTTATAGACTGACAACAGGTGCTCTATGTAGTTGCACAATTACATCTATTCCAGCCCATGTCTGAGTGGGAACTTTTCAATCACTTCTGTTATAATTTATTCTTGTGCAAGGGAGAGACATGGATCGCCCTGAGGCTTGCCAAGGAATCCAGGCTGTACTGACACTTTATATTGTGCAGCTACTGTGTAAAGTCATGGACCTACTGGAACGTGTGGGGATGGCACAGTGCTTGTTAAAGAAATAAATAGCGTCTGAAAAATTACAAACATTGTGGTTCATACATGCTTCAATTGTGATCTGTACCAAGGGCATACTAAATTTAGGATCTGTTTCAAATGCAGCTGCCTTATCTTAAGCAAATTACAGCTCTTTATCAATAAAAATGAATATTTAACAGCTCTTTATATGCTGATTAGCAGTCCAGAGGTCGTGTATGTTACTGGAGTACTGAGGATGCTCACTGTGTCTTATTACTTGTATTATTTTGCCATTCTGACCCCAAAAAAGAAGAAAAAAATATGTTTATAAGCCCCGTGTCCTGTGTTCACACACACTGTGGATTTGCTCACTTAACACGTTGACCCAGGCTGTATTGGAAACAATTGCTCGGCTGCTCTCAGACTGTCCTGCTTGACATTCATAGGAAGCGTCGTCTTCCAGTTGGGCCTTTTCAATCTGAAGATGATACTGCCCTGGAATAGAAATAGAGAGATTCATTATTTTTGTGACGCATTGTGCCAGGACACGAAATACATGTAAATAATCAGAGGAGGGGTTTATCTAGTTTTCTTGTTCTCTCTCCACTGAATATAAAACTCATTGTTCACCGTTGCTTAATTTACTTTTTAAAAAAAAAAAGATTTTTCATCTGTGGTGAATTCAGTTTGTGAATTAAAGGAGTATTAATTGATGCCAGACAGAGTCCTTCTCCCTGTATCTTTCTTCTGATAGTCTGGTGTGCCAGCAGGGCTTGATTTTTTTGGTGCATTGCCATAACCTGTGGGGATTAGATGATGTTCCGGGTTGGTTTCCAGCTCCTAATTCTCTGGCTCACAGCCTACTAATATGTGCAAAATTGTATCTTGGTCTGACAACCACCCAGGCCTAAAATGCATGTGTCAAGTAAGCTGGCAAGATAATTAACACCAACCAGAAGCAATTTCCACATCTAAGTTATCATTTAGTGCAGAGAGAGAGAGAGAGACACTGAAGTTATTAATCATATTCCTCTTTCCTAAAATTACTCATAAATAGTGCAATCAAGCTGCAGAGAGTGTGTTTTTATGTTAGGGGAGATGGCGTACAGCTGCAGCTTGATTTTCTTATTTATCTATTATGCTTCAGAATTTGGGGATAAAGTAAACCATCATTATGTCTGCAGCAGGTTGATATTTGCTAAATCTGCATGTGTGCATTAGCCTTAAAGCTGAAAATACACATTGTTCCATAATTGGGAAGGTCGATACAGATGGAAAGGCAAAGGGAACACTAACAAATATCAGTTGTTCATCTTTATTTAGACAACACTGCCTCATTCAGTCAGTCAAGTATGATTAAAACCAGGTAATATGCTACATTGTCTTGTCCCACTGTACAGTATGTTAAGAGCCTCTATAGTAAAGCTGACACAAACAAATTCAATATACAGTAAAGTTTGATCTACAAAGGTTTTATTAATTCAGGAAAAAGTATACACACCATAGCAGTTGTGAACTAGCTAAAGCTTCTTCATCACATCTTTTTATGGCTCTGTGCAGTACTACATAACGTTTCATTACACTTAAGGATGACTTCATTCGCAAAGACATTCTAGAGTCACAGCAAATGGTTAAGCAAATATTCATTTGTAACTATGATTAGCTGATGTATAAATACTGGATATAGTTAAAGATAGGCAGTATATATGATGTCACATGAACACTGTCTTAATGAGTGTTCATTCATAATAAGATTTTTCCCGACTGCCTGATTAACTGGCTGTATGCCATGTACTATGATTAAATTACCCCTTGTGGATCAATCAATAAAAATAAATTAAGAAAAGCTCACCTAATGTTTTGGTCCCTTGAACAAGCGGTTTTATCTGTGTCTTTACAGTGTCCGCTGTGTTCACACAAAATGCCTGAAATCCTAGATCTAGTCTCATGTTGATACACATTTACATAATTGCTCCAGCCTAGGGAAACTAAGGGTACTACATCTACTGTAAGTATATGTGCAAATCAACACTGTGTGTTTAACTGTGTGATTTCAGGCTTTTTTAGGCATCAATAAACATCGCTGATGGTCACAATCAGTGAAAACTGGTATCAAGTGCAGTCAAGCGTTATCCTAAATAATTTTGCTCTTTCTGTGTAGTGTCAAGTGATTGCATACAGTACATCAGTCTGCAGTTTCCTTTCCTGGCAAAGTGTACCTGTAATGATGGGTATTTTATTCACGTGTATGCTTGCCTATCTGACAGCTTGCGTATTTGTGCTCGTTACATTTGTGTGTGTATGTTCTTACGTTGCTGTTGTTGATGTAAAAGAGGAAAACATTTTTCTCTAACCCTGTACTTGCTGTAACGCTTACTGTAATTTGCTTACTGACAACTAATCAACTGATGAACAACATGTTAGTGTTTTACAGGTTTGTATATTGTACTTTATGCAAACTCTAGGTATTAAGAAGCACAGACAATGTGTAGATGGGCATCTATGTGTCTCACAGTGTTTATGTGTCGTTGGCAGTCTCCCACACTGTGCACAATGAAGTGCGGCTTGTCTAGTTGCGGGCTGATCAGGAACAGATGCTCATCTCTTACTCGGGATTGCCTTCTAATTGGCTATTACTTTTTATAGACTGTGGTGCAGATTCTGCAACATACTTTACTCCCTGCCACATTTCACTGACTTGCTGACACTCTGTTGCTTTAATTTCTTTTTTTGTCTTTACATGTGATTGACAGTGAGAAGGATATGTGAGAGGCTGTTGACAATCCCATCACCACCTCAGCCCCAGATGCTCCCTGCACAGAGAGCCAGGGTGCCATAAGGTTACTGTCTCTGTTGCTTTAATGCAGCACTTTGAAGCCATAGCAACAACATCATCTCATTTACTTTGAGTAGCCAACATCAAGCTGTACTGTTGGATGCTTCCTAAAACGACAGAAGCTGTTCATAACTAAAACCATATGAACAATATGCCACAAGAAAGCAAAGTATTTATTATTAATCTAATACATCACATCTGAATCACACTGACTTGGCTTTAATCTTGTTTTTTCTTATTCCACTTAATTGGGTCTTCTGAGTTGATCGTTTCTATTTGATTTTTTTTAAACCATAAAGTGCATGACTAATTCAGCCATAGGCAATTTATGATTACTAATTTCAGTGTCTTTTAGTGGTACTTTTATCAAACAAGTTAATCTACTTAGCTTGTATAGGTCCATTAAAGCCCAGTGGGTCACAGACCATATTCCATGAGTATCCCTGTTTACCTCTGTTGGGGTTTCCAATCACGCTATAACGTGGAAAACCTGGCAGGCTTCTCTCAGGTCCCAAGAGGAGGCCGTCTTTGACCCACTGCACAGTCCCTGATGCCCGCAACACCTCACACCTCAACACAGCTGTGGCTCCCATCTGCACACTGATGTTCCTCGGTTCAGACCTGAAGGCCTGCTGGGCATGTGTGCCTAGAGGCATAAAAGGAGGAGAAAAGTAGTTGGAGTGCAATGGCAGAGCATGAGAAGGAAGTGATGGGGACTTCATGTAAAGAGGTATAGAAAAACAAACAAGTGTGTTATGGGGAAAATCAAAGGAGTAGAAGGAGCGTGACATTAACATACACCACAGGGATGCAGTCTTGTGGTCTTTGTCTAAGAAGGCACCCCATTGAGCCTGGCCACATTATTCATTCTGGCATATGTTTTATTGATGGGAAACTGCAGTGATCCAGCCCTGAAAATGAGTCAATAAAGCAATTACTGTGAATTAAATCCCCCCTCAGCCATGCAGATAGGACACTGGAAGAAGGGAAAAAGCATGGGGTATCAGAGACTTCGTTCACCTGTGGTTTTCCTTTAATGTTGATGTCCCAATAGCTAATTCCTTCTGTGAAGGGTAATGATTATCACTTTAATCCTCCTTGTTTGTCACAGGTGGGAATGGCCATCCTTTAACCTGGCTCTGATGTGACATTACAATGTGCTTGAGTCAGGTAGGTAACCTTAACGTCTATGAGCCTCTAACACTGGAGCTTGGATTATATGATTATTATACTGAGATGTTTATGAATAATTTTCATTCAAGGAGCCAAATCCAACTGCAGACTCCAATTAGAGCCTAATATCTAAGTGTGAATCTCGTTTAAACACTGCCCCACAGAGAAGTCACCCTGATTCCGTCAAGCTGTTTGAATCTTGACCTTCATTGAAGCAATGACCAAGTTGTTTGTGAAGTGCATGCTCTGTTGCATCTGACAACATGAGTGAGTGGCAGAGCTCTCAGATCAAGGCTGAACCAGTCACCTCACGTCAAATATGAAGGGCAAGATTGGCCATTACAGAGGATGCATACAAACAACCAAACACAGGAGCACATTTGCATGTAGTTTACATAAATGAATACTCAACTGTGATCCACAGTGGCTGCTGAAATAATATTACACTTTATTATTCTGAGATGTAGAAAACCGGAATGCCATCTGGGTCTTTAGCTGCTAAATGCTAAAATGTGTTAGCTCGTTTTCTTCTGTCTGTTGTTAGCTGCTAGCCTGGTACTGCACTGTGAGGTTTTAGAGCTGTTTTTGCTGCCTGGAAACAATGTTGGTGACAGCAGTGATACAGTGCCAAAACAGTAAAGTGGGCTGTAAAACTAGCATTATGAACTAAAAACTCCCTGTAAAGCTATGGTTAACTTCAGAGAGATGTAGTAAATCTCTGTTTGTCACTGCCAGTGCCCCGTTTCACAAGTGTTTGACCCATTGTTGATCTGAAATATAAAGTACTATGGCTTTAAATGATGGGGAAAGCAACCGTATTTGAACAGACTGATATACACTTCCACTATACTTGCACATGAATCCATTACACACGAGTGTCCCATTGAGCCATGTCAGCGAGCAAGCATGCACCGTGCAATGGAACTGCACAACCTAAATGGACTGGAGCCAACATAATTAATGTTAATTACACCTGTACTTTCCTGCATGTCAAACTGTCTGCTATGAAACATTGAACTCCATTCCTAATTCAAGAGCAGATACCTAACATACGTATGCAGTTTGCTTCTTAACCCATTTTTAGATGTACAATTTGGTTTATATGTTTGTTTGTTTTTTAACACTTGTAGTAGAGTATCTGATTGAGATCAACTTGTTCAGAATATTGGTTATGTTTAGTAAGTTCTATAAACTGAAAGTCATTGTGCTCATAATGCCCAGTACCAGAAGCAAAATTATGATAGTGATATCTGGATTAACCTTTAGGAGCCTTGGAATATTTTTGGCTTTTTTTGTTTTTGTTTTTTTTTTTGAGTCTGCCTATATACACCACATGAAGATATGTTTAACATGTCAATGTTAGGTATATTTTTTCAGCAGAGCTCCACCTTTTTAACTTGACAATTATTTAAACATATTGACATGCAACATCAACATGCATGATCCTTGATGCCTGGAGGTTAAGTTATATGCATTATGCATTAATACTCTGAATTGCCATTTTGCCCTGATGTTCCTTTGTACCCAACCTTTCTTGTTCATAGGGAAAG